CTATAATGTATAAAACTATTCATAACTTACTTGGTACCCAGTGAGTAAGCTTTCAAGATTAGCAAACAGAAAAAATCTATTTGGTAAAGATGAGACTGAGATGGCTTGATGTATATACATATATAGAATTTTTAAAAAAAAAACAAAAAAAAAATCTATTAAAGAAAACAAAAGACAAACAAAAAAGCATGTCAAAAAACACAAAGTTAAGCACTGGTATTTATTAACAGCAACCCTATCCTGATCTATGTGTCTGCTTTTCCTAATGAAATGAAGCGCGATCTATATACTTCACGTACTGGTGATCTAAGTCACCTTTCCAACCCAGCAACTGCTCCATTGCAGGGACTTAATGGGTAATAATTAAATTAAGTAAATGAATAATGGTGTGAACAATGTTTTATTCTGCTCCCTTACTAGAAGAAAAAAATGATATGACAAAAAATAAATAAAAAAAATAAATGAACAAATCATAACCCAACATTCAAGTCAACAAACATAAAAAAAAAAAAGGTGGAAATAAACATTCTGATTGTTTCCCTTTCCCACCTGAGGAAACCCTTCCACACACAGGTTTACTTTTTTCCTACAGCAGAGTCAAAAGAAGAAAGAAAGGAGAGAAAAGAGAAAGAAAGGAGAGGGAGAACGAGAGGAAAAAAAGTCCCTCATATTCTATAGTCAATTAGGACTCAACTGCCCAGTTCTCCAGACAGTTGATAGTCTATACCAAAGTAAAATATTATTTGTAGATTGTCCAGCAGGAACTCCTCTTTCTTCTTCTTCTTCTTATTTTTTTAAATTTTTTTTTATTTTTCGTAGTATATTTAGAAGGTCATACCTTAAGGGATTAGTGTGTCCAAACTCAAAGAGTAGTCCACTGAAGGATGATAGAAGTCTGTCCAAACAGAAGATCCTGTGCACACAGAACCATCTAGAGCAGCATTAGGAGAAGAGCAAGAATGGATATTCGAAATTTTTTCAAGAAAGTATTGGTCATTGCTTATAGTAACAATAAGTTAGCTCCAGCCCCCCAGCTAACAGCAGAAAGTCCCACGTAATTACCAAATGGTCCCTGTTTGACTCATAAAAACCTGGCACTCTGTGGGAGAGAGCCCCCTGTACAGTAGGCAGCCTGAGATGCGTGCTGTATCTGCATGTCTTACCTTGTTGTTTTTCGGTCAAAAGTTACATCTCAGCTCTAAAAGAACGCTGCTACTTAGCTAGCTAGTTAGTCTGAAATGCAATGTGAAGGTCCTGGCTGTTAGGTGTGCACTCCTCCTCATACTGTCTTTGGGATGTCTTCCTTCTGGAGCATCAACTCCAGCATCAGATGCACACCGTGAGAGGGGAGAAGCTTCTACTGGAAAGGTGAGTCTCAAGGATTTCACAGGATAAAGTCATTTGTGGTGCAGACAGTCTTGGAATTTTAAGGAAATTGATATGAATATGAAATATGAAACATTTCAGTCCAAGTGCACCAGACTTATTTACCTTGGGCTTTTATTTAGGAGAGTACTGACTGGAAAGTGGAGATAGCCAAGAGAGAGAGATGGATAAGGCAAATTTGACTAGTCCAAATATTTTCAAGAGTACCTAATATATAACTCTAATTTATGTAATTAAGCAATATTTTTTTTCAGGGCTTAAAATTACAACCATTTTACTCACATATGTGCTCAAAATGTAATCTGTGCGACTTCAAAATATTTGGGAGTAAAAAACTGTGGTGTTGTGAGTGAAAGTCATGGCATCACTCCTCATACTGTCTTTAAAAATGTAATGGTGTCCTAAAACATTTACACAGTAAAGTATTGCTGTTAAATTTGTCCAAAAAGTGAAATTTCTCAGTTTTTGTTAGTTGTTTGTGGAATTAAACTCACACTCACATTCTGTGCATCTCTTGGGGGCTAAGCCCCCCCTTTCCTTAAAACCTAGTGACGCCCCTGGTCACATCCCCGCAGTAATTTCTTCAGGTCGATGAATGCTTTCCGCCGTTTGTACAGCACTGTGGACACGTCTCTGAAGATCATGATGGTAGAGTTGCCGTACTCCAACTTTTTTTGTTGTCGGGCAGCTGCGAGGATTTTCTCCGTATCACTGCTACGCAGCAGACGAATGACCAGCGCCCGTGGTCTATCATACTCAGCTGGACGAGGTTGCAGGGTACGGTGACACGTTTCAATTTCAAGAGACATGTTTACCTTCAGAATCTTTGGTAGGCATTCTTGTAGAAAGCTTACACCATCGCTGCCTACAGCTCCTTCTGGGAAGCCCACCAAGCGTAAGTTGTTTCGCCTGGCTCGATTTTCCATGTCATCAAGTTTTCCTCGGAGCTCTTCAATTGCGGCCTTCGTCTCTTTCTTGGAATCGGTGACATTCTGCACGTAGAGCCACAGCGGTCGCTTCGTATTGCATTTGTTTAGCCGAGAGGTCAGCCAACTTTTTATTGATAGCTGAGTGCTCGCTAAGTATTTTTTCCACTACCTTGTTTATTTTACTGGTCCTCGACCATATCATACACTACTCACAATAAGTTAGGGATATTGTGAGAGTTTCAGTGGATTTCATACATACAGTCTTTGTTTCACTTCAGAGATTTCTGGGACAGGGAGGCTATTGTATTGGGGTGATAGACACNTAATAATAATCACAACGGTTACAATAGGGTCCTTGCACTGGAGTGCTCGAACTCTAATGAAGAATCAGAATAAAGAATAAAACACACAAGAAATAAATATATATATGACTATATATAGAGAGATAGAAATCAGCAAAAATAAAAAAATCAAATTGTCAAACAGTGCAAAAGGGATTAAAACATCCATCCATCCATTATCTATACACCGCTTAATCCTCACTAGGGTCGCGGGGGGGGGGGCTGGAGCCTATCCCAGCCGACCCAGTGTGAAGGCAGGGGACACCCTGGACAGGTCGCCAGTCCATCGTAGGGCCACACTTAGAGACAGACAACCAAGCACACTCACATTCACACCCACGGACAATCTAGAATCACCAATCAACCTCAACATGTTTTTGGACTGTGTGGGAGGAAGCCGGAGAACCCGGAGAGAACCCACGCTGCACAGGGAGAACATGCAAACTCCGCGCATAAAGATTCCGGTGCCCCTACTGGGACGCGAACCGGCAACCTTCTTGCTGCGAGGCAACAGTGCTACCAACTGCGCCACCCTGCAGCCCTAGGAGGATTAAAACAAATAAATAAAATAATATTATATGTATATATACAAGGTGAAAAATAACCGGTTGGATTGTTTATTGAGTCTACTGTCTCAGGTTCAGCAGGCAGACAGCCGGAGGAAAGAAGCTCCTCCTCATCCTCTCTGTGTTTGCCTTCAGGCAGCGATAATGCCGCCCTGACAGCAGCAGAGAGAACAGTCTGTGGCTTGAGTCGGTGGACTCATTCGCAATCTTCCTGGCCTTTAACCTGCATCGTTTGGTGTAAATGTCCTGCAAGTTGGGGAGGGTGGTTCTGATGGTGCCCTTAGCCGAGTGGACCACCCTCCTCAGGGCCAAGAAGTCCTGCTGGGTGCTGCTTACAGATAAACACAGTGTAAATGTAAAATATGCTATGATTTATTAAAATGTCAAAAATCACGCAAGCAAGTATCCAACTACAAACACCTTTATTGGCACAGAAAGTTGTTTTTTTAGAACAATGACTGAGACACAGGACAGGAAATCAGAATTGTACACAGTAAAATGTTAAAATGTCACCAGAGAACTACAGATGAAACCATTTAATTTTCTTGTAACACCAATAAAACATGTATCTTTTTTTGTTTGAGCAAGTAAGTACAAAGATGTAAAAAGTCACAAAAGCTACAAGCCGCACGACATTTACCATCTGTACTTGTGATTGTAATTGTTGATGTCATCGTAAATGTTTCCTAATGAAACTTGGTGAAGGTGCGCATTTAATTTTGCAACAGTGACGCTGACGATAATAATGACAGTGAGGATAATGAGGCAAATCAGGACAGTGATGCAGATGTTGAGGGAGCGAGCAGTGGAGCCGTAGTGTCGGGCTCCTTCCAGATCTCCAACCACCTTCCGGTCTCTGGCCTGAAATGACCAGAAAATACTGGTTTTAGTACTATATTGATAATTATGTTCAACCTTAACGAAAATAAAAACTGCCAATGTTGAAAGCATACAGTGTCTGAAAAAGCTTTAGATTCCTATTTGTAGCAAATGTGATTCCTTTCTCTCTTTGTCCTCCATTCTTCCATTTAAATATATGGTTTTATGGTTCCAACATAATGTAAATATCTGCAGCTCATCAATTTTTTATTTTAGTATTTCTTTTTTTTTGTTGTTGTTGTTGGTGTTTTATCATTTCATTATTCTGTACATCGTTGACAATTTATTTATTTTTTTTCGTTTTTATGTGCTCTAATAGAAGCTTGGCACATGAAAGATGTAACTTCCTATGAATCTCAAAATCGGTCCACATAAACTCACCTTGATGGAGTAGATGAGAGCTGCCAGTCCGAGGCAGCATAGGTTCATGTAGGCAAAGTTGAAGGTGGACCAGATGATGTGGTCCTTGGGGGGCTCCGTGGTGACGTTCACAGTGGTGTATTGAACCATTGTAGGGCCTGCAGGCTGTCCAGAGGACCCATCATACGGCCTCCCCTGCAGTGGAACTGAATCACTCGGGTAACCTTCAGGATTCATCACTGTGAGCTCAGTTGCAGTTTGAAGTAGAGCCTGTAGAAATCTGTTGAAGAAGTGACGCGCGACCGCAAGTACTGACTTCTCTTGAAGGTGTTTGGGCTGAGTAGAGGACAGTTTTTTTTTTTTCCACTGTAAACCAATCATGCAAAAGCAAATACAACGTACTTGCATTTGTGGTTTCTCTGATGAAGACAAAAGCAGTCCAGGAAGTTTTGCTTCCTTTAAACGTATTTTGTTTCTAGCAGTAAACCTGCAAAAAAAATAGCAGCATGATGAGAAGTCTTTCTTTGAATGAGATCTTCAGAACTTTATTTGGGTCAGCTTGGACCTAACAGCAGAAATTATTACATTTTAGTGAACTCTAAAGCCCTTCACAGGTGAGCAAGGAGCTCACTCATGTAGGATCACATCTGTTGTGGTGCAATTTGATGGAACTTCACATTAGATAAAATGTTTATCATATATGCAGTATAAAGTACACTGTAACATAGTGAGAATGTGAATAATTGCTAAAAAAAAAAAAAAAAAAAAAAGAAAGTAATGCCCGTGTGTATATAACCACTTTTTTTGAGNGATGAAACTTCACATTAGATAAAATGTTTATCATATATGCAGTATAAAGTACACTGTAGCATAGTGAGAATGTGAATAATTGCTAAAAAAAAAAAAAAGAAAGTAATGCCCGTGTGTATATAACCACTTTTTTTGAGTCACAAACCAGACAAATGAAAGTTGTACTTCAATTCAAGATGTACTTGCTGCACTTTTAGGAAATATGAATTGAATAACATAGTTCAAACTTGAATGTAGACAGCAGTAAAGGAAACAGAGAAGAGTGTCTTTTTAGATTTTTGTACGACAAAAACAAGTATCTTTCAATCAAAGTTAAATAAAAAAACTGCCTTTATCTGTAACCGTAGTATCTGTAGCTGTACTCGTGTCAGTGCACTCACAGACATGACTGAGGACATAAAACAACCAGGAGAAACAAGGCCATGGTCTTCCTCATACTTTGTGTCTCTAGACATGCCGTAGAAATGTAATCAAGTTAAAAAAAAAAAAAGAAAAGAAAAATTAGATCTTTCTTTATATTGACATGTGATCTCAGTTTTATTTTTTGGTGCAGGGATGGACGTGTTAGTTACCAGTTTTGAAATACAGAAGAGAAGAAGAAGATGAAGGAAGAACCTTTGCTAAAAAGGCTCAAGTGACATATTGCATATTGACATTTGGACTAAATACTACAAACATGACAGGATGCGTAGTTTGTGTGAAGAATTGGTATCTAGAGGGACTTTGTCACCCAGACTTATTCTGTTTTTTTAAGGGCGTGATGTACAGTAGATCAAAGAGACTAAAACAGTTGAAATCAGTAGTTCAGAAGGTGTAGTATAAAAGAAACTGCAGGTGGGTACGTTTATAGGTCACAGATAGGCAGATGTGTAATGTTTTAACAGATGTGCACTCTGAACAAGTAAATCTGTTGTGTTGCTGCTTGATGGAAATGCACATTAATGTTTATGTGTACAGTGACATTTATAAAGACAAGTGGGGGCAGAACAACTGTAGACAAAGGCAAACTGATGATAAGCTTCAATTACAAATTTATTAATTCAGGCACTCAACACGTCGCATCTGAAGCAGGTTCTCAACTTAAACATCCACAGAAAACAAATAGAAGGGTACATGGACAATCCTGTAGGTGATGTGGTCTTTTCACAGGACAACATGCCTTTGAAATGTCACATTTTGTAATATTCTATTTAACCCCAACAAACTCACACTTTTACAACTTTCGGTTACTAATGACGCTAATGTACAGTTTACCTCCACACTGTTAAAAACTACAGTTACTTTCACCAAAATCAAACAGAACAAATCACATTTGTTTTTTTCTTTCCAGACAAAGTTTAAGGTCATCTGTAAATTGTAGCTACAAAAAAAGGCACCAAAGATTGTCTTTTGTTAATTTCCACACGCCAAAGCTTGCTCTTTATCTGATAGTAAATAAACACTCATTACCATTTTCAATAACTGAAAAACAACTGCCTGCAGTGCTCTCAGACTTTCAGTGGTTTAGTCAAGCAGGAAGGAAACAAGCCCAAACTCAGTTTTGCTTTTCGTGAAAACAAAAGTAAAGCAAAACAGAAAGCCAATCCTGCAGAGCAAACCCAGTTGTTTTACCAGTTTGAATCCAGTCTCTCACCAAAGCAGCTGTCAGACTTCAGTCTGCAGTACATCTCAGGCGAGGACATGGGTACACACAAGTTTTTTTAAACAAACATTATGTAAATGTTGATTTGTTTTTATTTTTTAACTAAAGGAAAGTGTATCATCACAACATAGTAGTGCACACAAATCTGAGGAATTATTGAAAACAATCAGTAGCTGCGGTTAGTTCATTTATTGCAATCAAGTCAAAAGTAAAGCTGATTATTAGATGATGGATGGATTGATTAAATTACTTCCAAGGCGTTGTGTGGTTCAAGTCAAGTGCTATAACCAGAGTCACGAGTCAAAATTACATACACGCCAAGAATCCTGTTCATTTTATCCAAAACTGCAGTTCAACCAGGACAAATGTACCTCAGAGGATTTCTACCGAGCCTTCTGGATGTTAATGGCGCTGAGAAGTTTGAGGAAAAATTAACTGCTAGGAATGACGGACTTAAAAATGAACTAAACTAAACGTCAACTCTACAACACCATTTAACCATCAGAGTTGATGGTAAATGGTAGGTTAAGTCTAATCTTGATCCTGGTCGTAGCACTTGGTAGGCCATTGGTGCATTTGCTCTGAGTGAAAACTGGGGGGGGGGGGGATCTCTGGATGCATCACATCTTAGAGGACGCAGCGACGGCCGAGGCACCTGGACGGCTGTAAACACGCACAGCTGTGTTCTGAGAAAGACAAAGTGACGTTTAGAGAAAGAGTGATGAGCTTTTTAATGCAGAGCATGCAGTTTCTACCTGTGTAACTCTGAAATACTGACATACACAGAAAAACACTTCATTTCTACCCTCAGCATTTTGTGGCTGATATCTGTCATGAAATTACATGAGAAATTCTTTATTAGCTAGATTTTCTCTGTTATCTCTCTTTTCCTGTATCTAAAAAAAGTGCATATTTCAAGGAGGGTTTTATTGTCCATTTAAAAATCTAAACGTCAATTTTGTTTGCACTGAAACAAAACGTTTTACTTTCATGTGGACTGACTGTAACTGTAATTTAGGTTGATGATGATTCATTAATTTTTTTGGATAAATGGTTACAAACACTTTGAAAGAAAATTCTACGCTTTAAGTTTAGAGACAAAGAAAGAAATCTGACATGCTTGCGGTCCTCCTCCCCTGTAATCCTCTGACCTTCCTGGGATGAGAATTTATAAACCCAAATGTATGTAGCAAATGTTACAGCAATGTTTGTCAAGGTATTTCCCTCTGAGCCAAAGTGGTGGATAAACTGACCACGATGGCATCCCTAAGAGATGGAGCGCTACTTAATCCTGAATGAAGACTGGAGACTGGAGACTTTACCTTGGGGGCCTCTGCGTTGTACTTGTTGAGAAGAGTCTGAACCCTGTTTCCGTAGTCTGGATGGACAGCCCTCAAAGTCTCAACCTACAGGAAGAACCAGAAAACAAAACTTAATCATTAGTTTCTCACTGCAAGTAAAGTATTTTCTGCCATTTCTGCATTTCTTGTACTTCCATGCACCATGCAGCATTTAGAAAAAAGGCAAACCAGAATCTGGTAACAGCCAGAGGACTGTGTGGTTTTATGTATGCAGTCTGATATTTGCTTTGAAAAGTAGTTTTTGTAATAATAAAGATATAGGAGTAAATCTAAGCTTCAGGGGCTTAACTTTGGAGTCTCTCAGAGGCTGGCAGCATTTCTCACATTTGGTGGATCATTTTTTGCAAAGTTAAAGAAAAACTTTGCAACCTGACCACAGTGCAAAACTAAGCTGCAACTTTCAGCGGAAAGATCCTTCGATATAAAACCACCGGGGTTTTGTGTGGTTGACTTTCTGTGGTGGAAGGGCAACAGAAATGGAAACTAAATGTCTAAATGGAAAATACCAGCTTGGTAAACAGCACTGGTGTGAAAACACAAGGTTTAGTTTGGTGCTTTAAAACCTTGATGAATGTAGTGAACATTATTTCTCATGACAACTTACATGCCTTTAAAAAATAAAATGAAAAGATTTAGGGCATTGAGCAGACTGATCACTCCTTTTCCCAATACTGACTAACGTCACTGTACTGCACAACAAGAAACATAAATGTCTTTTAATGTGTATAGAAGTTGCTATTGCAATGGCTTATTCCAAATAAATAAATAAAATAGAAAAGTATATCCATAAGGCTGTCTGCAAATAAATAAATAAATACAAACACATGCTACCTGTTCTGATAGTGAGATTAAAACGTGTGAAAGGTTTATTCAGTGGTGCTTTCAAAGATGATGTACGGTCACCTTTCTAATGTAATTAATGCCTGCTGCCCTGCTGCAATGTTTCCATTTTGTTTTCTGTCTTTTATGTTTTGTTCTTTTTTCTTCAGTCCTGATACTTTGTTGATTAACTTGCTTTGTGGCTGCAAAGCACTTCGATGCTGCCTTGTGAATTAATTGTGCCACACAGTATGAACACATTTTCCTTTCCTCCACCCACAGAACAACGTGTGGTTGGCATTTCCTTTTGTGGTTGTCCAAGCTTTACATCCTGTATTTGCAGCGTGCACATACATGCAACTGCTTCACTCACCCCAGAAGTTCATTATGATTCCACAAAATATATATTTGCATTTTATGCAATTAACATGTTGAAGAAAATGTTCATGGATTTAAAACCATTTCCATATTTTTTTCATTTAATCATTTTCTTTTTTTAAACCAATGATACATTTGAAAAGAAAACTGCTGTGGTTCCTTCAGTTTCCCCTAATGCTGTGTGGAAACCCAGAAATGAAGTGGACTCACCATGCGTTTCTGGATGAAGAGCTGGGCTCCCTTCAGGGCTCCTGCCAAGTTTTGGCAAAGTCTCTGGCGCTCGTCTTCATTCAGCACTTGGGTGTAGAAGGTGCGAACCTGAAATCGCACACAGAGAGATTGAGCTCCTGATGAAAGAGGATCCCATCAAAAAGAGATTCATTAAAGGGTCATTCCATGCCAACTCCCCCAGGGCCTCCCAGTTGACGTGGTGGATTTTCTTCAAATAAATCAGGCAAAAACTTCTACCTAAACCCTTGACTCTTGAAAAATCACACAGCTCTACTCCAAATGCTTTTGGAGTTATGAATTTTTGAAAATATACCCTCGGTGTTAAATTTGATAACTTCAGCATCTTGAAAGCCTCACCAATTGTTTATTTTATTTTTTACAGGATTTGGCAGAATATTTTTTTTACTGAATATCCCAGAAAGCTCAAGAAAAAGCTGGAACTTGTAATCATGTCAACAGATCCATGCTTATTTTTTCTACAGAAATTAACATTTAAAAGGAATCTATAATTTGTTATCAAAACAAAAACTTTTTCATTTTCAAAGCTTCATATTTCAACTAATATTCTCTCAATTCCAAATAATTTTTGTTGTAAGTAGAAACAACTTAGTTTTGTCATTTTAAATAACGATACCAATAATGAAGGAATAATATTACGTGTTTAACTTAAAAAAGAAAAGGAAAAGAAAAAGAAAAGAAAAAATGTAATGGATATGAAGACGCTTCCTTGAAAAAGTTTGAAAATTAAAACCATCCTTTCTGGGGGGAAAAAAATGCTGTTAAAATGTTCAAAAAAGTGGATTTTTCAGCTCTAAGGCCAATTTTAGGAAGACCCAAGACAGTCAATTTTTGATGCAGCACCAACTGATATCTTGATGTGAAAAAACTAAGTTGTTTATACCCACAACAAAAATGTTTGGAATTAAGTGAATATTAGTGAAGATATTAATATTTGAAAATTCAGGATTTTTCATTTTGATGAGAAATTAGAGATTTTTTATGTTTTTATTTTTATTTTTAATTTCTGCAAAATTTAGATTACAAGTTCCAACTTTTTCTTGACGTTTCTGGGATATTAAGTGAAAAAAAAAATTCTGCCAAATCCTGTGAAAAATAAGCAATTGGGGAGGCTTTAAAGATACTTTAAAAAGAATCGTTGAAGTTATACAATTCAACACAGCGGGCTTATTTTCAAAAATTCATACTTGAAGAAGTATTTGGAGTCAAACTGTAGGCACGGAATGACCCTGATGTGCATTTTATACAGAAATTGCAAAGATGAGCTTTATTTCACATGTGGTCCTATTTCTACAAACCTATCAGGAGCTTTGCAAATTAAGGGTTCCGCGCCAAAGCACAACAAAAATCCAAAGTTGAGTTTCATGGTTTTTTTGACAAGTGTTTATGATCTACTAGTTCATGACCGAGTGGTCCAACCAACATCCTACTAGTAACGTCACAGTGTGACTTTGAGGTTTGGCCCACAATGGTTTCGGCATCAAAATTTAGAAGCAAACTGGGCCCAGCCACAGGAACTGCTGAGCATTATATGACGCAAGTAGCTGCACGTCTTTGCGATTCAAGATGGCGGACAGCCAAGTCCCAGGCAAGTCCCGTGAAAACTCAACTCGTAGGTACGGTAAGGTAAAATAAAAAATTAACCACCAACAAGCATCTATTTCTACCCCATGGTCCTCAACAATATCTCTCGTTTCGTATGATGTAAATTCTTCAATGCTGTTTAACAAGACAACCCTTGAATCTGTTTTTTTTTCTCAAAAAGTAGTAAATGTGGTTTGACCCACTTTGGCACCAACCCCATCAAATATACGTCTAACACTAAATAGCTCTTACATACTGCTCCTCTATCCAGACATCATTATCGCTGTCGTTTTAAATGCTACAACATGTCTGAGCTTTTCCTTCTGTCTATATGTAAAAGAGGTTAAGTGGATTTCATAATCTGTAAGCACCACACTGATGTTATCATAATATACAGTTGTTACTGCAAACATGCTACGCTAAAAAAGGAGCAACAGTTGAACTCATTTGGAGTTTTGTTGCCTTTTTTTAGTTGCTGAAAACAGCCCTCATGAAATGAGGAAGAGGGAAGCTAAAGAGTCAATTTGTGGGGTAATTGTGAAAAAAGCAAACAATGAGTTGACAGAGACCACAGCTCTGCAGTGACGAGGGGAATTGCAGAGTCCAAGGTTTGGCACTAATAGTGGCCCCTCTTACATACAGGTGCTCATTTCATCCATTATTGATTTGGAAATATTGATTCATGTTGATTTAAAAACAATATTGAAACTGAAAACAGAAACATACCTACAGGTAGTTGTTTTGCAGTAACACAATAAAGACTGCATGACCCAAAGGTGGAAAAGTGCAGGAATGACTGAAAGGGTTAAAGCTTTAGCTCCCAAAAAGTCAGCTGATGATAAATCATCTAAAACAACCATCTTGGAGGAACAAATCTGAAATCACAATTCTGTTTAAAATACAAGTCTTTGAACTTCCTTTTTCACAAAGGTCAAGGTTTTTATTAGCTTTACTGTTTTTGTTGGCAAAATGGAATACAATTACCCCCAAGGGGAATAATAAGGAAGACTGTTTTGAAATAGTATGTTTTTTGCAAATAAACAAAGATGTTGTAAACAATTATGGAAGCTGTGAGTTTGAATTCACAGAAAACACACCTATAAAGCCTGCTGCATTATCATTACCTGTGTGACATTATCTTCATCCTCGGTGTTGTAACGGGTCACATCTGGAGACACCTTGAACTTGGACTCCACAACTCGAGGCTGGGTCTCCGGGGCACTGAAACTGTTGGGATAGTAATTTGGAGCTCCACCTAGAGATCAGACAGACCACACACTGATGAGCCAAAGAGGAAGGGAAAAAATGCTGTTGAAGTTTGAATTATGAAAAATACCATAAAAATGACTGAGACATCTACAGAACAAATTATAAGAGTGGATACCTCTGAATGCAATGACAACATGGTGCATCCACAGTCAGACACTCGTCACTGTGAAGTCTTAACGTTTTCAAAATGAGGATTTATATTTAGTTTTAAAGTTTTCTTTTTTTTTTTTTGGTTTCCATTTCAGTGTTATTGACTGTGGTTAGCCTGTATTCTCCACAAATTTACTGGTGTTGGTTTGTAAGCATTCAATACAGTTCAAATGGCGACATCAGCTGGCCAAAACTTAGTATTGCACTAGCATGGGAAAGAGGTCTCATTGCTGTCCTTGTTGATATTTTGTTCATTAAAGCTTATATTACAAAAACTAAGCATTTTCATTTAAAAATCCACAGCGCTGCTTTTAAATGCAAAAGCAGACTGACAGGCATGTACTGTACATCTGAAAAAAAAAAAAATATTTGAAAGGGTTACATTGATGATGTGATTTTTGTTAGATGTTGTTGCAACACTGACTTTAAAAGATCAATACGATTACAGTCTTCTTCAAAACTAACTTGTGCATGCTTTATCATCATCATCTCAAATGTTTTAACTCAATTAACCATTAACAAGAATGCTCCAGGATTACTTGGGTACTGCCAAAACTTAAATACTATATGTATTTACACTTGTATAAACTAAAATCACAGAATTATACAAGATTATTTATTAAGCCACAGTTGCCACATCTGTACTATGACCTACCCTGGTTGTCAAACATGCACATCGGACCATCACGCTGGTAGTTGGCCACACGGGCCCTGTAGGGGCAGTTAACAGGGAGCTGCAGGTAGTTGGCCCCCAAACGGTGTCGATGTGTGTCTGGGTAGGAGAAGAGTCGGCCCTAAACAAGGACATGGGAGATGCAGAACTATAATGGCAGCAGTTTTTTTCAGATTGACTTTCCAAGTCAATCTGACTTTTAAAAAAATAATACATCAAAAGAAAACCTTTCGTTGTGTTACCTGCAGCATCTTGTCAGGGCTGGGCTCGATGCCTGGTGGCATGTTGCTGGGGTCAAACGCCAGCTGCTCCACCTCCGCAAAGTAGTTAACTGGGTTCCTGTTGAGGACCAATTTGCCCACTGGGATCAAAGGGTATTCTTTATGTGACCACACCTGGACCAAAGAAAATAACAGTCACTTACTTTACTTGAATCTTCACAAGGATACTTTTGCTTAAATATCTTCAAAGGCTTTGTTACAAGAAGTAGTTCTATTCTTCACTAAAAATAAAGAGGAGGAATACATTTTGTGATGTTCCCATTTAACCTGATAGATTCTACCTAGGTCTGCAGGATTATGGCCAACAATATTGTTTAATACTCATGATTTATTCATTGATTTTAGGGATAAAATGTGTTTGTTAAGCCTGAAAAAAAAAAAATACTTCATAACCCAGATTTGTTCTGTTGTGGAGAGATGCAGTACCTTAGTGAGGTCAAACGGGTTGAATTGAAACCTCTCAGCCTGCTCAAAGGTCATGACCTGGATGAAAAAGGTCCAGGATGGGTAGTTGCCATTGGCAATTGCATTGAACAGGTCTCCAATAGCATAATCTGGGTTGGTGGATGCCAGGCGGTCTGCTTCCTCCACTGGCAGATTCTTTATTCCTTGATCAGTCTGAAAAAAGAAAAAAAAAGACACAGGACATGACACAACACGCAACAAAGCAGTAACTGTAACTTGGTTATAACTTGGTTTCAAACTGACCTTGTAGTGGAACTTGCAATAGACAGGTTGGCCATCAGCATTGATCAGTTTGAAGGTGTGCGAGCCGTAGCCGTTCATGTGGCGGTAGCCATCAGGCAGACCTCGATCACTGAACAGGAAAGACACCTGCACAGTAGACATAAGACAGAAAACATGAGAAAAGCGCTGTAAGGCTTTCAGATATAGGCCATCAAATAATTACTGCAAGTTCAATTAGGATGAGCAACAGAACACTGCAACACAAGGATATTTTGTTCATTTTTAATTGAGACTGTTCACGCCAAGTGCCAAATAAATAATGATTCTTTGTGAAATATTCCTGTAAATACTCGACTAGGCTCTTCAACATTAGCATCAGGCTCAGCAGCAGCTACCTGATGCAGAGACTCAGGCCTCAGACTCCAGAAGTCCCACACCATGTCAGGGTCCTTCATGTGGGTTTGAGGATTGCGCTTCTGAGTGTGGATGAAGGATGGGAACTGCATGGGGCAAAAGGCGCAAGTCAATATGATTTGTTTTACATTTGATTCATGTTGACAAAAATAACAATAAGTCTCAAAGGTGTTTCGGATGATACTCATCTTACCATAGAAAGTACAAGGCCTGGTCTATGTATGTGTTTGTTTCTTCAGTAAACTTATAAAACTAGATCTCCAAACTCTTACTATTAACTATTTGCATGCTTGAGAGAAGAATACAAATTGATGTGCTATGCCATTATGACCCTCACATACTAAATGACTGCAGATCAAGTTGTGATTCATGCATCCTTTACACTCACCAGCATGGCGTCCTTGATGAAGAAAATGGGGGTGTTGTTGCCGGTCAGGTCCCAGTTGCCCTCTTCGGTGTAAAACTTGACTGCAAAGCCTCGGGGGTCTCGCACTGTGTCTGCGGACCCCGACTCTCCAGCTGTAATCAAATACAAAGCAGACACATTTCCCTCAGAAACCACTGAAGTAATAAGTCAGACTTACAGTGATAAATCCAGTGAGAACTTCAACAATTAATGAAATAGTCAATCCACAGAAAATATTTAAGAAAATATTATGATGATAAATTAATCATTCAAGTCATTTTAAAGGGGAGAAAATAAGAAAACTTTGATGGTAACAGCTTCTGAGGTTGATTCATCAGAAACTTATAGCCTGAGTTATAAGGGAGAGGCTGGTGTTTGCAGCTGATAAAATGAGTGCAGCTACTCAAAACGCTCATCTTGAAGTGTGACTGGCATCATGCACCGTCCTGTGCTTCACACTAATCTTGTTAACCACTCGAGCCACAAGTGTGCCAAACTACACATTCAGAGCACAACCCAGGTGGTGACAAGAGATAAAGAGATAACTGGTGTGGTGCGAATTCCATTGAACCAACAACCATGAAAGTGGCTTTTATTTATTTGTGCTTTTATTCACCTTAATGATCTGTATATGTCTTGTTATTGGTTTTTATTTTTATTTAATTTTATTTTGCATAAGTCAATTTAGACCCTTGTCTTGCACAAAAATCTTTTTTTTTTTTTTTTGTAAACATGCCAAAGCATGAATCATACACATAAATGCATTACATGGTTCTTCTTACCCACAGTGGAGAAGCGGATAGCGATAGGAGTTGTCTTGCCGACATGTTCAAACACCTTGGCCTTGCAGTAACGAGAGATGTCATGAGTGACCTCGAAGTAGCCAAATGCTCCTGCACAATGGAGAGAAAAAAAAAGTACATGTCTCTGTTCATATCAGCTTAGATATATCAAGTTCACATATTTATGCTTGACTGCAGGTTATTACAGTATATCAGCACTGGGAAGAACATTACCCTTTCCAGAGTAAGTCAACAGACATCATTTGTTCAGTATGTGACCAAAGTCTATGACCTCGATCTGAAAGGCTTAGATAGATTAGCATTTGTCTGAAGCTAAGCCACAAACAACAAGAATCCTTTTTGTCTGCTTTTTTTTTTGCTTATTTTGTTTATTTTGGTTGGTTAACATAGTTGCAGCTGCACCAGTGTGATTTTGTGGTGTGTGTACATAGGTTTGAACACTTTCCAGTATCAAGAAACAGGCTCTGTTTCCCAGTAATGATTCACTTGAGGTTAAAACAGGTTTCAAAAGCATTTCTACAAACTTTTTTTTTTTTTTTTGGTGGGGGGGGGGGGTAATTTTACAAAAAGTAACACGAAGAGCAAGTACATGTGTACATGCCATTAGGACCTTTTTTTGTGTAGACAGCAAAAATTTGGAAAGGTTAAAACATTCTAAATATGCTGTACCCTTAAATGGATATTAAAGTTCTTCTTTTCCTGCCAGCAGTCATCTCTTTCTCCTCAGACTGGGCAGGTCCCAACCACAATCTCCTGTAGGTAAAACACCAACCAACTCTGGATAAATACCTCTCACGGCCCTGCTTCAAAGAAACATAACTATAGTTTTAAAGCCTATATCGATCAGTACCGATGATGGCAGCTAACGCACAGTAAATGTGTACAGCTGTGAATAGCTCATCTTACTGGTTTGAACTCAATTGAGGAAAGTACATTTTACTTGATGTACCTGCTGCTCCGTGTAGAATTCAACCCAAATAAAGCAGGAGCACTTCCTATGAGTTTCAGGAATATGTAGCACATTGATGGTAAATGTCATTCTGACATTGTTTCGCCAAGTTATTAGAAATACTGTGGAAAACAACACAGTACGCAGTTTCTTTAACCTTTTAAGTTGCTTTTATCCTCCTAAGAGTCAGTAGTGGATACTTGTTAATCTACAATTAAAGAAGCATCTTCATTTGCTATGTTTACAAGTAGTTATGTTTACATTTAGTATGACTCACCATAACACACTGTGTGCATCCATGAGGTCTAACAAAAAAGCTGAGTGCATTCCCTTCCTCATTTATTTTTTGAATGAACTTTTGTTGGTCATATTGCCCTGTGCTGTCTGTGGTTGAACTGAAAGCTCACTGCTGCAGAGTGTTTGGACACTATTTAACATTTTACAAGTTTGACCTTCTTTGCTAGATTAAAAATGGGATTATCAATATGAAAAAAAAAACTTTTGCCCCTGAAAAAGAAAAAAAAAGAAAAAAAAACTGTTGTGCACTTCCGTAATTGTACCCACATTCAATAATCGACCTCTACCAAGTCTGAGGACTCAGATCTAATGCATCTTTGCAAAGCACATTTTCGCCATTTACTGACAGAACAAGTGGAGCAAACAACAATATTCTTTTTGCAACTAGAAACAGTCTGTAGTGCCTTCAGTGTGTAATGGTATCCGGGAATACCAAATTTAGTGCTACATAGAAGACACTTGTTCCTGACCACACCCACCTGCCCCTTTGGCATGCACCACTCTCTCAGGGATTCGTTCCCGGTCAAAGTGGGCCATCTCATCTGTGAAGACCACATCTTGGACCAGCAAAGGGCCTCTTGGTCCTGCAGTTAGCAGGTTCAGCTTGTCTCCGACGGGATGGCCACCCCCTGTGGTCAGCACATCTGGTCTCTGATACCAAGAGCGTCCACATCAAAACATGAATGAAGCATAACTCAAATACACATTAGTTTAACATAACATAATATAATATGAACAGCAAGAAGCCAGTCTTACATTTGGGAAGCTGAAACTAGCACATTTGTGCAGTGTTACCTTCAATAAACAACTAAAGCAAATATTCAAATGTGTTGTTCATCAGTTTATCTATTAATCAATTGCAGTTTCAGCTCCAGTGTCTGGATTTTTTCCAACATTGGGCTGAAACAAGTAGTTTCTATAACAGCTGACTAGAGTGACAAAAAAAAAAAAAAGAAGATTTTTTGGAAGCAATCACATGCAAACAACTCACCAGTGTTCACGAATAAGAACTTATATGGACATACCATGAGGCATCAAAATCAAACTTTCCCCTCTTGTTATACATGTAAAGTCGTCTTCAAATTTATTCAGAACCTCCCATTAAAGAAGGAAAAAAACAACTGTCACTGAAATAAGTTGAAACTGACAACAGTAATAAATAAAAATGTAATGAAAATCATGACATTGCTTTTGAATTGTGGTTCAACAGAAATGTTAAAAAAAAACAAAAAAAACAAGCCAACAAGTATGATGGGACCCGTAAACTAATATTTTGTTAAACAACAACAATCACCCCAATCAAGTGTTTTCTGTAACTCTCAGTCAGACTTCTGCACCTGTTGACAGGTATTTAGATTTTGGCCCACTGCTCATCAGCAAAGTGCTCTAATTTGTCTGGGACAGTTTTTTTTTTGTTGTTTTAATTTTTTATTATTACTGTTTTCAACCACAATTCAAAAGCAATGTCTTATGTCACTAAATTATAATTCATCAAATTTTTATTTATCATTACTTTTTCAGTTTCTAGGTATTTGAATGACTATTGTGAATTTTGCCTTTTCTTGAATGGAAGGGTATGAATACATTTGAGGACTACTGTAAACAATGGTGCACTCTGCTGAGTATGATCGTAACACTGCTGCTGAAACCTGCTCAGCTCTTCAAGTTGCATGATATATAAATTCTGATACATGTACAAACCAACATGCAGTGGTTGGAGGGGGGTGGACTTGGATCCTTTATGCGGCACTAGCTGTTAGCTTTGCTCTCGTTACATAACTGATAGGGTTAGAGTTTAACAGCACACCTCTGGACAATGACCTACTTCATATCCTTGCACTGAATTTCGTGAAGAAATCTGAGCCGTTTGCATGTTTATTTTGCGACTGAAAACATCGCAAAATTAAAGCCAGGGTGCGACGCTTTTTTTTTAATGCGTGTGAAATGTCAAGTAAGGCTACTTGAGCCTGTAAGCTAGCAAACGAGCCCCTCACGATAGTGGCGATATAAACGGACACAAAACAAAAAAGAACGCTAAACTTCACAGACAGCATTTATTAGCTCGTCTGGAAATATCAGGAGCGAATTATGAGCAACAGCAGGCTGGAGAAGCCCCCTTAGCTCTATGGCTGTTAACGTTAGCTTGTTACCCCAAACGACCTCTCACCCATTTACTCCGAGACGAGCGGTGCTGCGCAGCAAAAAAAAAACCCAGTGTGTATACAGACCTGAGAGCCTCTGTTCTCCTTCCATATCTTCATCTGGTCGGTGCATTTATCTCTGTTGTCAGCCATCTCGACAGGTCAGTGCCAGCGGACGTTTGGGCCACACACCGTGCAGGAGATGTTGCAGAAAAAGTCGTTATCTATTTATCCTGATGCCTGAAAATTTCTTCCTGGACTTCGGTCAATAAGACCCCGCCCCCTCCTGCACCCTCTCCTCTGATTGGCTGAGAGAAGCGAACTGACCTACTTTTGCCACTAAAAGGAGAAAAGCCCAGCAACACAAATGCTGCCCTGAAGGTGCAAAATTCACAAGATCGCAAAACAACCACCTCATATTTGGAGGGGATCAGATATTTAAAAGTGCACAAGGAGGTGATTTGATCAAGGCTGAATTTTTTTAAGGATCTTTGCTTATTTTAACTAGTGAGCCCTCAGTAGACGGACATAGTTGCACAATGTATGCATGTTTACCTGATTCTGTGTTTTACTGTGCACCTATTTGAGGATGAACTTGCCTTGATTTTGCTTTAAAATAATACATAATGTAACAAGAGCTTAGTCTGTCATGTAACGCAGATGATCAGCTCATCATCAAGCTTTGCAGAAGCCTGATAACAATCCTGATCATTTGAATCAAGTGTGTTAGAAGAGGGAAACATCTAAAACATGCAGGATTGTGGCCCTCAAGGACCAGGATTGGACACCCCTGGTATAGAGACTTTTCACACTTAGACACAAACTTTGCATTTTGCACTTTGTATTCTTATTCAATTTCTATTTAATTACTAACCTTTCTGTAATTGTGTGTATTTCTCTAAACCTTTGTTTATTGTACTCTGGCAAAACAGTTTCCTTTAGGATGAATAAAGTTGATCTTATCTTATTGGCAGAAAAAAAGTATGTCCGGATATCTCAATATGTTGCAATGGACTGACTATAATTTATGAAAAAATTGTGCAAAAAATTAAGTTTTCCTTTAAAATTTCCCACCACATATGGTTAACAGTGAAGTACAATAATCACGCTCAAACCTCACTATTTCAATTTAGAGGAAAAAATGTAACTTTAACATCTACAATGTCATGCTAATAAGGCAAGCTCCATCTGCTTCAGAAAATCATCGATCAAAAGCTTAACAATGGCTACTAAATGGATATCGTGTTGAAAGCTTTTATGAACTACTGTCTCCAAAGTCAAGGATTAACTCTAAATCTCAGCTTATTCTTGACATTTCTTCAATGATTCATTTGCCGCAAAGTAAGCTCATAATTGTGCCTGTTCATCTGCTGCGTTGATCCATTGATGCCACAGCAAACATGAACACATCTACCTGCAGGTACCTCGGTATTGCATACAGCAACTGTAAGAGGTGACCTGCTGTATCTTTGCAAATGTTTCTCCCTGAATTTTCTAATTTACATTTTATCACACTTTAAGGGGATTTTTGTGGTGTCCACAAAGAGAGACAGAGTGAGACATCTTTGTTTTTCCTCCTCTCAGATTCCAACAAGTCAAAGTCATTCCCACAAGATAAACAAGTTTGTTACTGTTGAATTGCTTTTTATTTCAAAGAGCATTCACACAATACACTGTATTCTGGAGGCACATTCACATCAAGTGCTAAATAACTTCATGCATGGTCCAATGTAGGCTACAGCTTTGTTGAATTGAATGCAAATGCTGACTATAAATGAAAATATTGCTTCATCATTTGGCACAGTAGGAAATATTGTCTATTATATGTGTTATTTTTGGATTGATTTTCAAAGTGAGGTGAGAAATGCTGTAAGAATTTGACCAAAAATGTGCAGTAGGTTCTGCTGGAAAAAAAAAAAAAATCACAACAATGCAATGAGGTTGATTATGCTTTTAGAGTTAGCAGACATTTCACATGATAATTCACATTCAAAGGTTACAACAAAACAGCACTATTGCACAAGGTTGTAGAGAATATCCCAGACAGATAAAAAGTCACCTTGACATTCTGACCGTTACAAGACTCTTGTCACGTCCGTCTTTATTTTAACCAAAAACATTTCTAGCAGGATTATCATTCGAGATGAGAAGTTTGCAGGTAACTTTACAAAAAACACTAAAATGAGGGTGACAAGTAGCCCGGTGAACAACAACTACAGATTGATTCAGAATATCAAGGTGTTTCCTCTAACATAAACGAAACTGTAAACCCATTTAAAGGGGTTAGTACTTTACATCACAAGTTAAATTCCCAGAGGTGTTTAGATAATTATTATTTGATCAGCAATTATATTGGTGTTAAATATAGTGTTGTATGAATGGAGTTTGATGTTTATTAATGGTCATACTATGAAAAACAGGATTTGCACCTAGAATTTAGAGAAAACAAAATGCCAATGAGGAGAATGTTGAAGTACACTATTTACACTGAAATATGTGTATGCAACTAGTATTGCATTAATCATGGTGAAAATAGAACAATGTAACATTATGTTTATAGGATGATTACATCTGATTTTGCCACCCTGTAACAACTGCTACAAATTACAATTATTTCACCTGGATAAGAGTACCTGGATTTTTTTTTTCAAAAGCACAATAAATACTGAACATACCAAAACCTCTATTATTTATCAGTCTCACTGTTAACAAATTACACAAGCAAATCCAATAGAGCTCACTGAACTCAGCTCCGAAACCACTACGAAATCAATCAAGTAGGCGCAATCAATGACTGGTTTGAAAAGACAAATTAGTGTTTTCCTGAAAGAGAAGCGATTTCACCCCTCCATCCAGTCGATCATTCTCTAGACAGCTATAATAGGCTACAACCAGAGTAGGCACCATGCAGAGGGAGGGGTTGCGCCCGCCAAGGTCGGGCTCCTTTTCTTAGATAAAACTCACTTCGCAAGTCCAAACTGAAATAGTTGATGAGGACTTGTGAGAAGCGAAAAAACATCCACCAATTTACGTCTCCTTCACTGGAGCTGGAGCGTATATTCGGGTTTCAGACTGATTCTCTCTCCAGCCAAAGGAGCAGAGGGAGGATGAGCGATGTACAAGATTTGAAAAACTCCCCAGTGACTTTCGGTGAGTGATTTCAGACCCTGTTTAAATGCCACCCTCACTTATAACGTACCCAACCCAGGATGGAGCTGAACAATAAAGACAAGTGCATAACTGATTGACTCACTTCAGAGCCAAACACTGGCTTTTCAGATTCCTCCCTCCCCCATCTGAAGACGAGGAGTTACCTCCGATTCTGTGGGTCACGATGTAAACTCTATCCCACTGAAACACTAGAACACATCTGAGCATGGCACCAAACAAGACAAGAGTTCAAAGGAACACGTGAATGTTTTACTTGAAACAGAGATGTAGGTGTGCTGAGAGGACTAGATCCTGCGTAGAGGGTGCCACATGGACACAGGCTTCCTCAGGGTGGCCAGCATCTGGTTCCAGTGGGTGATGCCCATCCCGCTGGCCTCGGGGCCAATGATCACGTGGCCCAGGTTCTCTCCCCGGCCGTCGTCTGTGGCCTCGGCCACTGTCACCCTCAGGGAGAGCTCCTGCAAACAGCACAGCAGGGTTACACAACCTGCTATGTGAGCATGACTCAGCAGTTTTTTTTTTTTGCTTTTTTTTTTTTTAACAGCGTGGTTCCTGCGTATCCTGATAGTGTCAGTTAAATAAATGTGTGAACTTTTTTTTTTTACTCATCACCTTCCATTCACATTTAATTTTATCACTGGATTGTTTTGAGGCTTTAAAACTTTTACTGGGCACATTGTATTGCAGAAGGATTTTAATTACGCTGTCATAGTTGGGTTAAGTATTTTCATCCTTTCAGGAACATCAATCTGTCGAGCATTCCACCAATACTGTCAAGTGTTGTGCAATGTTTTTAATTATGACCAAAGAAAACACAATAAATTTCAAGCTGTGCAAAGATGGTAAACATGTTAGCATTATACCTGCTAAAGGTTAACATTGTCCTTGTGAGCACGTTGACGTAAACATTCAAACTCTGGCTGTTTATAAGTGCAGCCTCACTAATGTTGATGCCACTTCTCTATTAATTCTCATATTTGTTTTATGATATTGTTATGTTGTACAGTTTATTGAACCCTTGTTTAACCAAGAAACATCTTGAGATGTCGTATCTCTTTCATGAGAGGAGAGAGCAATAGAGACAGTAAACACACAATATAAATGTACAATGTTTAACTATAGCACAATAAAACAAGACCTGAGAGGTTGTTTGCCATCTCCATGGGAAAGAAGGTTGCATTGTTACTACTGATAGTGGTTTCTAGTTATACTTTTTCTTAATTTCCCTTATGGATTATTCAAGTCTCAACGTTTGGTGCGTCGTAGTCTAAAGCGTCACCTGCAGGACGATAGACGGCACAGAGAAGATCATGGCTTCATTAAAGATGGGGTTCGTGTCATCCCTTTTGGTGGAAGTCTTCTTCTTGCTGATCTTCCTGCCATCTTGCAGGAGATACACTTTGACAAACGGATCTGATGATGAGAAGGGGCGAACGAGATTACAACCTACACATATGCAAATGCACCCTCACATAGTTTGTAGAGCGGGCAGTAAGCTCTTCATTACAGAGTGATCAATTAGAAGCACCAGTCCTGTACACACAATTAGCTCCGTAGATGATAATAGCAGGTGACCTTTATCAGTCGAATGTTAGTCTGACAAGTCATTTAAGTCCCATCTGCCTTTCTGGATGAAGATTAATGTGTCTTCTGGGAGCTGACATTAAAAGCCTGTTATAACTGAATCAGGAAATGTGTTTCTCAGCAGCAAGATGTGAGTCATTCAGAAAACTTTACAGATTTAATGGTAGAGACAGACACATGCGTACATGAAGTGCACAGATCACACAACAGGAAACACGCACACACAGCGGTCAATCACTTTAATAGATAAACACACTACAGTAAACAAAGGACGGTCCCTGACCTGCGGTGTTCTTGCCGTTGGTCCAAACCAGGTTCTTGCATTTGGCCACAACCACAGTGAGGCGCTCTGCTGTCGGCAAATAGCTGAGAGACAACAAGATCTCCCCGACAGCATCGACGGCCTGTGGAGTCAAGCCAGAGCACGGCATGCATTACATATTACATTACATGTGTCAGTCTGGGTGATGTTTTTTCAGTGAGAACTTTTAATTATGTGTTGGCTGGAGTGTGGGCAATCATAGCTCCTGCTACTCTCCTGGATTTAATTTAATTTTTAAGCAGTGCACCGCTTGCAGATCATTAAATTAGAGAGGATTAAATTAAAGCAATCGCAAAATAGAAACAGTAAATGTTAAAAGAGGGAACAAATTATGAAATGGATTATTATAGGCAGACATGCTAGCAAATGTAATAACATAACAAAGCAAGTCGATTTGAAACTTGTTAACATTTTGTGATGCTGTTTTAATATTTAACTTCATTGTTAATTCATCATTTTAAGACAGAATAAGTACATATATATTGATTGTTTTTATTATGTTTGAGTTTCATTGCACATCGTTAACTGCAGATGTAGTTAACTTAATGATACGATATATTTTTTAAAGTACCAAATGCATAAATTGATCATAAATTAAATGGTTAATGGTTATGATTTTTCCAGTGACACGCTCCAGGCTCCACACACGTGGATGTTGTTGATCTGGTGTACAAAATGCGATTATTCTGTGATGTTCAACTCACTCAAAGTTATATACATTTCACTGATGAGGATGGAGTCTTGATGAGGATTTAAAATATGACCTCTGTCCTTCACTCCCTTGTAAATGTTCTTTTTACATTTTTATTATACATGGTTGACTGTTAACATAAACCTGTTGGATTTACGTCTCATCAGGAAAATGATACAGTATTTAAGTAACGATTAGGTGCCCAAATATATGAAAACAATGTTTAATTCGAGGACATTACATTGCAAGAGCACATTGCAGTGCACTGTTTCTCAGTGTTTTAAAATCATCTGTCATTTACGTTTTCTGGAGTCAGTAAGCTTATGATTATTGTAACCAGTGAGAGTTAACTGACATAAATCATTCAGTCCGATATACCTGCTCTCCTGAATTACAGCAGTTACTAAAGTGTACTGTAACGATATGCAACTTTTTTTTTTTACCTGTCAGACAACCTGAAACATATTTTCTGTGGAGGAGGAGACATTCTTATCTGTTATTATTATAATTAGTACATCACTGTTAACGTTATGTATCAGTTAATCCCATTTTCAACTGTGATTCTTGTTCATTGGATCAAACATGATATTTTGTTTCATGTCCAGAAGGGGGTCTCAGACACCACCGAGCTTTCTTACATATTTAAATCTAGACAGCATTTAGATGATTTAGCTTACAGCAGCAGGCTGTGCATTTTAGATTTGAATTGTGATTGAACTCCAAGACTGAAGATTCTTCTGCAGCATATTTGTGCGCTGTGTCTCTACTCTGTTAATCTGTTCCAGCGTACCTTATTGACATCTTGAAGGTAGAGCCAGGCGTTGAACGGTCTGATGGTCAGGTCCAGGTCTGACAGCTTGAGCTCTGCTACGCCTGCGCTGATGTTTCTTTCGTCGGTGTCGATGCCAAAAGCAGCAAAGCGAAGGCTGTACTCCTCCAGAGTGGACTGATCCATGGGGATGGAGAATCGCTCATCAAAGATCACGGTGAATGCATTCGTCTGGACCTGTAGGACGCAGAAGATGCGGCGCCGAATCGTTACATTGTATTGCATATTTCAGTTTGTGTGAACCAACAACTTCAGCATTTCTTAAAAGCAAAGTGGTACCAGCTCAAAAAGACAGCAGGAGCAACAACTAGTCAAACATGCAAAGATTCATCAGAGGAATGTCTAACAGCATGTTGGAGACACTGTAGAGAGGGAGAAACATTCTTGCTTTTTCACAGTTATCTGACAAACTGTGGCTGCCTGCAATGTGGAGAACATGAAGTACACAAAGAGTACAGGGTCAGAGCGGATACTTGTTCCCACGTAACATTTACACATCCATCGGAGCACATTCCTTTGCTCTGCTGTGACAAGATGCTTTTATATTATCCCGAAAAAACACGAGCAGCACAATCTGCAGGTCATGAAAATCTTTTTTTTTTTCTTTTCTGTTTAGCAACCACCAAATCCAATACATAAAATCTAGCTTTTACAGTGAGCAGAGCACACCATGCCTACTTAAGGCCACAGTGAGAGACACAGCTGCAACATCCACAGTTGCAATGTGAACTTCAAGTCATCACATCTTGATGCCAATGCGGTCAGAAGTTACCAAGCAACTGGTGTGAAAAGAGGAAAAAGATTCAAAAATATTTCATCATCTGTGTTTGTTCATGACATGTGAAAAACAATGAGGGACATTTCTGCTGAATATATCTGAAATAAACAGCTCCTTTGATGCAAACACACAGAATAAAATGATAAAAGCGCATGTGATGCAAGGTCACCAGGAGTCGCTATTGATTAACAGTGGCGGACTTACTGTACCGTAAAAGACTCGTGAATTCAGAGGTAAAAGGTCTACAAATCAGCATGTGAGTCTGACCTTGGACTGTGTAAATATCCACCAGCTGAATAGCATCATAATCATACGGCCCTCTGCTGCTGCTGTTGTGTAAAACTGTACATGAAAATATAAAGCATCCAGTAGCTCTCTGGCAGCCTCCCTCCATCCACAATATGAGACCGTCTGTCTGCATTGTTGGGCTTATCACTTGGGGATAACAGTGGTGATGTGTGTGGGAACAATGAGGCATGTGTGGATATGTATGTGTGAGCTACAGCAGACAGCAAGTGAGAACAAAGAGCGCCGTGCACATTATTGCAAGCAAAAAAAAAAAAGCAAGAAGCAGTGACAGCAAATAAATAAGCAGACAAAGAGATGAGGGAAAAATGAGCCAAAGAAAGGAGAGGTGATGGGGGGGGGGCAAAAACAAGAACAGTCATAGCAGAGGTGCTGGAGAAGAAAATGAGCGTGAAAAAGAAGAGAGTGAGAGAGAGGGAGACGCCTGCTTGACCATCAAGGCGAGTGGAGCTGATGTCAGCATTTCCTTTGGTCTTCCCTGACATTAAAGAGGGAGCGACTGAAGCTGCCGCATCAGTGGCTGCTTCCATTATTATTACACCCAGCCTGGATGCACTAATATGAGACAACAACAAGTACCAGAGGGGCCCCGACAAGTCCGTGTGTCGTCCCCTGTCGGCCTACGCAAACCATACAAAACCACATGACCGTGACTCACAGCCAGGCGGGATTCTGAGAATGTTTCTGGCAATGTCGAGCTGAGAGCAGAAGGCAAGTGGCAGGTGTAGCAGATGGAGGGATGTAGCTTCATTTTTTTTTGTTTTTTTTGTTTTTTTATGTCAGAACAGTTGCTTCCTAGATGAAAGCCTTTTTTTTTTTTGGCTGTAGAATGAATAACAGCAAAGAATCCACCAGGAAATGCTTCATAAAGGACACAGTGGAATAAAAACAACAAACGGTTGTAATTTTAAAATAGATGCAATCTAACAGGTGAATTTCAAAGAGCAAATACAGCAAAACAAAGTTAAAAATCTAAATACAGATGAAAAAGCAGTCGGTCAGTAACTAGTAATTAAAATAATAATAATAATTGAATCCTTTTTTTCCTTTGTGTTGTGAGGGCTGTGAAGTATTTGTAGTGTTTTATACGGTGTCTAAGATTTTGGACGTTAGACCTAAGGGCCGGGGTTTTCAATACCTGGTGGATTGGGAGGGTTACAGTCCGGAGGAGCGCTCTTGGATTTCTCGCCGCCTTATTTTGGATCCCTTGCTCCTACGGGATTTTTACCAAGAGCATCCTCACAGACCTGGTCGGACGTCAGGAGACGTCCGTTGGGGGGGGAACAAAAAAATATTAACAACAAATAACCCTTCAAGCATCAAGCCCTCCTTGTATCTCGACCTCCATCTTGACAATCCAACAGCCTTGCTATCCGACATAAAAGAAGGTTTTACATTTAGTGTCGGATTATCGAGTCACGACTGTATATGCTAATTTTAGATTGTGATGTTAAACATGATTTAGTCTGTCTTCAGGCATTCACTGGAAAAACAGTTTAAAGCCCTCCGCTGATAAAAATCTATTTTTCTTTTACTGTGTTAACCTGTCCACATGGTGCTTTTGCTGGAGAACAAATTATGAGCGAAATAGCCATCAAAGCCATAGCTGAGCATATCAAAATGTAACATACCAACGAGCAAATACACAGATTTGGTCAGGGTTTCATACGCAATAAACCAAAGAAATCAATCTCCAACTTGCAGAGTGGGACTTTTCTGTATCATTCAATATTACAGCTTTCCATTATGCATTGTAAAGTAGTTTTCACAGTCTTTGAGCAGAGTTGTAGGAGAGTTGGTGTGCTTGAGCTCGAGGAAAGGCATGTGGATGTTGACTTCATAGATAGGCACAAGCTAAAGGAGGCACAGAATGAAGTTTTATTGGAGCAACTTTAAGCCAAGAAGAGATGTTGTTTATGGAAAATCTTTGAAATATGTAACTTATATTCACAGAGATAAGTGTTTAGGGGTTTAATCAATAATGGGATAGGGACTTAAAGGAAAAAATGACTGGAAGATACAGACAGGTGATAAATGAAAGGAAACAGGAGGGGATGAATGCAGTTTCAGAGACTTAGAGAATTAGTATCAAGGTGCAATGAAGTGGCGGCATGACACCTACAAAGACAGTTTATGTTGACTTTTCTTCTAGTTTGTCACTGATCTGATCAGAAAAATTGCTGAACAATCAAGATCCTTCATCTCATCATCTAGCTAACTGTCCTATCAGACACAGAGATATCACCAGGATTATAGGACAAATTAGTTTATACATATTACAGTATTTATTGTAATGTCCTATCACCCAACCCAATAATCTGATCTAAACTCACTTTGTTATATTGTAGAACGTGACCACATCTCATCATTAGGATTGTTCAGACAGTCCATGCGAATAATACCACAAATCTTCATCATTACAGCTCCAGGTGCAGCTAAACACAGGTCGCAGGTTACAGGCTGAGTGAACTGATCATCTGTTCCTAGTGACAATGAAGGATGTGAAATCAACCTTCCCGACTGCAGCTCCCGGGAGACTGGCCACTCAAGCAAATGAAATGGGCCCTTCCGTTGGACAAGAAAGGACTGGCTTGTCAGGCTTCAGGATTGAGCTTCTCACCCCATGGGACATATCACTGTCTCTGTCGAAAACTCAGCCAGGACTGAAATCTTAAACACATTTCAAGCGAGACAAAACTGCCCCCTGAGCGAGAAAGCTTCAGACGCTGCAACGTTATTCCTCTTCCACCGTGTGAGGAGCCACTTTTATCTTTCCTTCGTTGCCCACGTTTAGTCGCCATGGCATAACCGCTAATTACCCATCTGAGTGGCTATCCTTTTATTTTTTTCTCCTCCATCCTGAATCTCTGCTACGTTAGCCGTTGACAAGCAGTTACACAATATCACCAGCTAGCGAAGAAATCTTTCACCGTAAATGCTTGAAACATCATCAAAACGATGGATTTCAGTAATCGATTAAATTGGTGCACATCTAAAAGTTTTGGGCGGTTGGTGTAACAAAACCAGCAATCAAAAAACATCACACACAGACCAGATAAACTAGTGAAGACCATTTCGAGCCACAGGAGGGTGTGCTTCAGGGGACAACCTTATCACTGCTTTGATCCAGACTGAAATACCTCAAAAACTTGTCACAGCTTTTGCTTTTGTGGCCAGTTCAGATGAGTCACTCTCATCTGCACTGCCTCCTGCATTACCTGACACCCCCCCCCCACCCCACTCGTTTAAACAGCTTCATGCCCTTACTTTCTACTGTTATCTTTGCCTTTTTTGTATTCTGGTTGATTTTTGACCTTACCTAAAACCCTAGACTCTGTCTCTGCCTGCTCCATCTGCTCTGTTTGCCAGCCTGATTCCCTGCTACCTTGAAAGAAAATTGTTCTTGAGCATAATAGACTTGTTTCTGGTCTTACGTGCTGGTTTCTGCATCATGCTTTTAGCTCATTTAACCTGAGTCGTGACACAACTATTTGATGTTTTGCCGTGAAATGAGCTTTTGACATTCACGTCCCTCTCAGAATGAACTGCAATAACTTTTCATCTCGTCCTATCATGAGGTTAAAAAAAAAAGCATTTTTGTCCTAATACCTGCAAAACTAATGAAATTCCCATCTGTCTTAGCTCTACTTGTACTAATTAGCCAGTGAAACACATTGAACATGATAATCATCAGTGTTTGACTAACGGGGGAACCCTGCAAGAGACCCAAGCTCTCTCAGAAATAACCAAAGTTTGAGGTTTTGAAAATCTAATGAAAAACAATCAGCATCTAATGCGGCAATAAGAAAAGCATAAACTCTAATTAAAATCTGAAGTCCTGCCATAAGTCATTTAAAATGTGTCTGCACAGCTCAGCTTCTTCTGCACGGCTCGAGTGATTCTCATCATTTGATCCATGCAGTGATAGCTGAAAACCCGTCAAAAGCCAAACTGTAATTTTATTACTGGTGAACATTTCACACTCTTAGCTCCGTTTAATATTATTTGACATTTTATAGACAAAATGAAAATCATCAGATTAGGCTACAATGAAAATAAGTGTAAGCTGCAGCGCTATCAGGCAAACCACCCATAAATACTTATTAAACATACACAAAACTGTATTACTCCAACTACGAAGGGTCTTCCAGGTACATTACAAACCGTGTCTACATTCAGTGTACCTCACTACAATACACAAAGGTCTGTTTATTTGCTTCCTCAAAAAGCATTCTCAAAGACAATCAATTACTTAAAAAGCTGGAAACCTATTACAGCAATGACAATTTGCTTGCACTTCTTTAATCCTCTTCTGCATTTTGTTACCGCAAAGCTGTGTTTCTTGGTACATTTTCTCCACCTGTAGATGAGCGTAATAGTGTGAAACCACTGACAGGTGTACAGCATGTATCGCCTGCATGCAAGTATATCTGCATGAGTCATAGCCCACTAATGGGAACACAGCTCCATAGCACCACTAGGGGACAAAACTCCACTGAGTACTTTTGAGTCAACCATTCTCTCTGCATAACTAACACCAACCTGTCCTTGCCATCAATCTGATACCACCACGTTTCCACAGTTGCTGCATTAACCTATACCTGCAGATCTTTGACAGGACAGCTGTAGAATAACAGCAGCCTTCACATGTATTTGTCCTGGTACAAAATCCGAAGCTAGTTTATCCAAATTAATCATCTGAAGGAGAAACAACATCTTTGAGATTCACATGCAGTAAATGCTTGTGTCAACTTTTTCACCTGACTTGAAAGTCTTAAAAAAAAAAAGGGCTGAGGGGGACCACATTCTTCTTTCTATCACAGAACATAATACAAGGGCACAGTCAAACACCACAACCCAACACGCAATAAGTGGTAGATAATGGATGAATGGAATTCCTTACCCTTGTGACTCCCACATTAAGCTCCTCTGACCCCAGCGAGACTCTGATGAAGCAGCCGGGGAAGTCCCCTTCCTCCCTCTCCAGCAGGTCTTTGCCCTGGTGCAGGGTGATGTGGAGCATTCCCGTCCCGTGGACCGGGTGCCTGGACGGCTCAAACTCCAGGGTCACTTCCAGCTGGCCAACTGTGAAGTCATGGCCGAAGTTGTTGGCGATGGAGGAGATGGAGCTAAGCGAGTCTGTAGAGATGGATCGGTTGAGCTGAGCCATGCCGGTCGGGTCCAGCTCCCTGCTCATTAGCTCCAGGTGGCCCAGGTCTCTGAAGCCATCTGGAGTGTCACCGAGGGCCAGGCTGGGCTTCCGGCTGGAGGTGGTGGAAGTCCGCCGGTGGTTGTTGGCTGCCACTCTCTTCAGGGAAAGGATAAAACAAAAAATGTTTTAATGTTTAAAACCACATATTTCAAAGTGAAGCATTTTAGAGTAAGATTGTCTAGACTGCAGCTTAACCAAAAAGATTAGTTTCACATTGACAGTCTCATGAAGCATTTTTTCCTTTTTGACATAAGGAGCATTTAATGAAAAAACTATCAAATGCATTAAAGTGACTTTTTTGGATATTAGTACTAACCACACCTCCAAAGACAATTTTTTTCTCAAAAGGAAGGAAATATGGCATGCATTTCAATAGCTGTAATTTTTATAACCAAATTAACTTTATTCATCCCCGAAAGCATTTAGAACAACTTCTGTCTCTAGTCCTGAATTTTATTCATCACATCATTTCAGTAGAATGCTGTATTGAATACTGTATTGTCTTCTGCACTGTTAGCGCATCAACATTAAACATGCAGTAACATTTTTTTTTGCCAAATAGGGGCAGTGAAAATAACTTATACACAGAGCCCTGACATCAACATATAAGTTGAGATGGTAAACTTGTTAACACAAGGTTACAGTTAGAGGACAACATTGTTATTCATTTAAGTCCAATATACTCACCCTCTTTTAGTCTTTTCGCTCTGTTTTTGGTCTCCACCAACTCCTGAGGTAAACGTCTGGCTCAGCTACTGAATGCTCCACTATGTTTAACTGACAGTCACTAACTGTGGTCATAACTTCAAAAGTTACACCCACATTATAAATAAATTAGCCCTTAAGGTAGAAATAGTCAGTTATGTCCCATCAACGACCAAGACTCCACAGAGTTAAACTAAAAGCTGACATGAACCAAAGAATCCTTCAGCCACAGAAAGCTTCGCTGAAACCAGCTGCTACAGGCACAGAAGCTGCTTGATTTTCATACTAACACCAACTCCAATAACTGATATCTTACATTTCGCAGACTGTGAATGTACCTTTTGTCTGACTTCTGAGAAGGAGGTTCCATACTTTTCTTGCAGATACCGATAGTCAAAGTTGGGGAAGGGGGACGGCGTGGGGAACGTTCCAGATTTCCACAACTTCCAAATGTTGAACCCAGCCATGCCCAGCAGCACGAAGAAGCCCACCAGGTAGATCCCCACCTCCCAGCCCGGCGGGTTACGCACCACTGAAACAGACACGCAAAACAACAAGTGCTTGAAGTAGGCCTTACACACTTCCATTTAATCTGTGGAAACATCAAGTTTGGCCTCATAACTGTCTGTATTTTATATTTGATGGAGGGCAGTTTGATCGCTGGAAGAAGTGCACAAACTGGAAGTCTGGAGTCTTTTTTTTATTTTAAGACCAGTGGGAGTCTTAACAAGCTCACAATCACTGAGCGCAGTCAGCCACTGATTCAGGACTTGTCATTTAACAGTGAGTGGTGACTTTGGGAGACAGTCAGGACTCATAAAATTTTATGTAAATCAGATAGTTGGGTACAAAACCTGACAAAATGTGACAGACAAATTGAAATGCCACTCTGAATTAAATTCCAGAGCATCTCATGCACTGAATTTTAAGAGAGGGATTAGGAGCCTGCACCGAAACTGGATTTCTCAGATTGAATTGCATCTGTGGAAGGACTTAATACTTTTTAAAACACAAACAGTGGCCAGTTACAGAGCAAGTATAAATGTTTTGTAACATCAGCAACCTTTGGTCAGACATAAGGCTAGAGCTGAGACAACTGCTATCAGACAAACATGCACAGAACAGAAGGAAAAGTCACAAACAGTCTTGTCTCTCAAATTGAAACACATTTACAACAGTGGGGTTAAAAGCACAGCTGTCGGGCATTCATCCACACAAAGGTATTCATGCAGAAATAAGTAAGCACAGAAATATGTTGGAGAAATACTCTGTCATCCAGCTACTCACCGCTCAGATGGTAGCCTGATATATCCTCACTCTGAGGCGAGGACATGGTGCTGCAGGCAGCCTGCAAAACACACACCCAACAATAATCTGTTTGAGTGGCTTTTTACTTCATCAGAGCGTAACATCATTTTGCAAAGTAAAAATTTGACCTTCTCATAGTGCCAGCGATGACATGTCATTTTGAAAACATGAAAAGCTTAGTCGCCCATTACAACTTCTCACTCTCAGTATTTTCCCTTCAGTATGAATCAGAGGTAATGTAGCTGCACTAACCTGCTTTGGCCTGCAGGATAAAATGTACCACGGGTCCCTAATAACTCCTGACATCCACTGCTGCTTCACATAAACAGTAGAGGCGCACGCTCAGAATCCACATGCAAAGCTACAGACAGTGTATTGTAACATCTCTGCACAGTCTGCAGTGTTGTATACCAACCAACAACCAAGACTACACCCACGACTTCAGGTGGAGGCGACAAACTCATCAGTAGAGGTGATCAGCTTGAATAAAAACTTGCAGACTTATGGTTCAACAGGAAAACTCCACCTCAGAGCCCTGATTTCAGACTCCACACACAGACTTTGAGGTGCGTTCCTGCCAAGTATGTGAAGGTCCAGAGTTGTTCCACTGTCAAATCATCAAATGTATGAGGGCTCTGAGGCAGAGTTACATATGAATGTGGCTGACTTGCCCCCTCCACAAAACACAACCAAGCCTGGATGGTGAAGGGAAGAAATCTACTAGGACGTCTGTCTGTAAGTGGCAGCATCTGGCTGCTGGCTGGTTCATTTACTACATGTTTGCAGAACTCACACACTCAAGCCCTGCAGTGAGGACATGCACTAAGTCTTTGAAGGTTTAGTGCTCAAGTCTTTGGGTGGAGATTGGGACTGAATCAGAGTTGGACATCAACAGTCCTTCACATAATTACCCAGATTAAGTGTTTCCTCATCAGCAGGACAACATTGCTTTTGCAGTGTCTTCCAAAACAGACCCAACTGCCATGACAATTCATGTGATCATTTTCTGGTCTAAAAAAATTATAGCACCTTGGTTAAATTAGGGTTGCAAGGTGGCTCAGTGGTTGGCACCATCGCCTCACAGCTCGAAGATCCCTGGTCCATGTCCCAGTTAGGACACCCGGGATTTTTCTGCGTGGAGTGAGGATTAAGCGGTGTGTAGATAATGGATGGATGGATGGTTAAATTAAAGGGGAGATTAAACTGTTAGCTGTTGTTTAAACGAATATTCACAGATCTAGACTTGCACTCCTACAACTTTGTTGGCCTCATGGTGGACAGATTAGAAAAAGAAGAATCAAATCAATGCAGCAGAAGCAGACTTTTTTTTTTTTTTTTGACACATTTCTCTATCAAAGTCTACGAAACCCATGATGCCTCTTGACCACCGTCAGTTGGGTCAGAGATTTGGATGTGATATGCAAGTTGTAGCTTTTGTAGCCTCAAGCAGAGATGAGCAGTGGGTAACGGAGGTCTGGTAGCCTGACTCCACACCTCCAGATTATATTTTTCATTTTTAAACTTGTAGTCAAGTTTGAAGCACCCTGAACAGTAACCCCTAAGTGCAGAAAATTTAAAGAGTAAATATCTGACTGTGGACTTCCTTATTAGATAGCATATACTGTATTGTGAAAGAGAACTTTGCCTTGGGCAAGAGTGCAGGTTTTTACAGCTCTGTACATCTACAGAATGCACGATAACAAAATGATAACAAAATAAAGTATATAACAAGGCACAGCATAAGCCATATGTAAACTGTGTGGAATCATTTAAACATACACATTCATTTACATACTCGCAAACACGTGCATATTGCACTATAGCATCATTTTGCACTTTGTGTAAAACAGATACTTAAAGAAAAATAGAGAGAGAGATTGACCTTGTAGAGTCATACAAGTTCATACTGAGTTGTTGTTTGTTGAGCAGTCTGGTAAAAGTGGGACTAAAGGACACTTTAAAACAGTTGCTCTTGTATTTTTAAGGTCAACCTCAGGATAGTAGTTTCTATTTTTTAAAAAAAAGGGATCTTCTGGTTGACAACAGATTTTTCATAGATTGAGTTGAGCGATGGATGTTCTTTCGTTACTGAATTCAACAAGTTATTTATTTATTTATTTTTGCATTTGACCGGACTGTGAGGGCACTGAATGGCACAGATCCCATGCACTGTACATGACAAAAGGCATCCCATTTACCACTGTAATACCACTGATCATACTGCTGAAACATGCAGTAATCCTGCTTACAGTGCAAGGCTTCTAGATGAGCTCACTCCCTGTACATTCACTCTATGTGTGCACGCAGCCATTAGGTTCGCTTAATTCACTGTAAGAAATCAATTCAATTGTCATGGTCTTTTCTTACAAAACAGCAGCAGGGACTGGTATTCAGAAGAAAAACAATGATGTTTTCAGGCACCACAAAAAATTTTAAAAAGTGAAAAAAACAACAACAACAA